ACAGCATAGGGATCTCGTAGTTTCAATTCCATTTTAAATCTATTTTATTTTAAAATAGATTTAAAGAATTCTTAAACTTTAATTGAATTAAAACAGATTCAAAAAATCAAGAATTTGAATTCGGCAATGACCACACGAATTCATTTCTACTCATTTCATTCCATTTCCGTTTGCTGGGCCAAATGAAATTAAATTGAACATACTACGTGTACTGTAGAATAATCAGTATGAACACGTTGATATGTTTATATCTTTGTTTCCCCCATCATGTAATCATTGCATTATATTAATAAGCAAAAAAGCAGAGACAAACATTGATAATAAAAAATAGTAAAAATCCTGCTTCTGCTGTACTTGTGACTGTTTATAACTCTACTACTAATTGTCTAGTGTCTTGTTACTATACAGAGTGTCCGGCATCGGTTATAATCTCTTGTGTGCAGGTAGAGCTAGTAAAACTGAGTAGAAGAGTTCTGTATCATTTTGTAATTTTCGCAATAATTATCAAATTATTAATTATTAAAAATTATCATATTAACCCGATCCACTGGCAAATACAAACGCACGGTAAGATATTCGCGCCCGGCGATCATCGTTAATAAACGCGTGAGGAATTGTTTATTTCAAGCGGCAATAGTTATAGCTAATATATTGAAAAATTCCTCGCGCGTCTAGCAATAATGATCACCAAGCGGGAATATTTTACCGCTCGCTTGCATTTGCCGATGGGCCGGGCTAATACAGTCATTTTTAAGAATTAATAACTCGATAATTATCGCAAAAATTGCAAAATGATACAGGACTTTTCTACTCAGTTTTACCAGCTCTACTTGCACACGAGAGATGATATAACCGATGCCGAACATTCTATATAGTTGTAAGTCACGCGTCCTCACGTCTCTGTTAACCTTACTGTACATAGCTAGTAATAAATCACATAGCTAGTAATAAATCATCTTCGTAGCTCCAAAAATTAAGCCAATTCGTCGAGTATACAATATTAGGCACTATCAATATCGTTTTAATATAAATTTATGGGCTGGTATACTACATGATTCAATAATAAGTTTATTTTTTACTCTATTCTTTATAAAGCAATATTACAAATATACATTTGTGCAAATAATATTTTTAATATTAAATTACAGATAGGATCTTTCGAAATGCCTGCAAAATTATTAATTAATGGTGCAACATAACCATTTTTTAATAAATGAATTACCAGTGCTGCTTGAAAATATACCTTTAAATATTAGACAGCAAATTATATTTCAACAGGATGAAGCACCACTACATAATTTGCAACTTGTTCGTGACTTGTTGTTAAGTGATAAATTTTCAGAGAGGTATGAATCTTAGTTTATTTTTTTTTATTATTTTCCTCTTCAAAGTTTTAAATTTAAAAATGTATAATAAATATTGCAGATGGATTGGACGGAGTGGTTCCGTAAGATGGCCGGTGCGATCACCAGATTTCACTCCATTAGATTATCTTTTATAGGGTCATATAAAGGAGCATGTTTATTAAAGAACGAATACAAAATCATGCAGATCTAGAAGGTCAAATTACGAAGGCTATTGTCTTTATAACACCTAAAATGATTATAAATGCAACAAGTAATCTTATTCGACGCACAAGATTATGCATTGAATGCAATGGTGGTCATTTTAAATATCTTTTGTAAATAGGTGCCGTATTAATTATATTAGTCTTCTAATATAATTCTACTGTAAATTTAAGTTTTACTTGCATAATCATATATAAGCAAAGCTTTGATTTCTACATTTAATGTGTTCATTTTCTCAATTTTTTTTTTGTTAATCCCAAATGATATAAATGTAAATGATGTAAATGATATAAAATATCATTTACGTGCGATACATCATACTGTTAAAATAATTATTACCTAATACAAGTTTTGTTTCCTCTTTTTAAATTTTGTGAGAACATAATCGATAACGCTAACGTTTTATTAACAGGTATTGTATTCAGCTGCAAATAATTGAACTGAAACAAAAGGATTTTTATCTAAGATCAACAAAAATGTCGCTTCATTTTCATTTATACGGGCATATCATTTTATTCGACTGCTATCGACACCTTTTCTTATAAACATCATTGATCCTATTTCTCGAAATTGATTTATTAAATGTAGAAATATTTTTGTATTTAGTGTCCTACAATTTAGAAAGCATATATTGTATTCCCGCACTATAAGATGCAAATTTTGATCACATTTGAAATAAATCATTAGCATATCACGTTAGTCCTAGTCTACAATAGATGATTTAAGCCTTAAGCCATAAGAAATTGACCAATCATAATCGATTATTCTCCCCTTCTTCGACTATAATTCGTCCATTTCTTATAGCTTAAGGCTTAAATTATTATATTGTAGACTGGGATTAAAAGTGTGTATAATCCGTTTTAATTTTTATTTTAACAAGAAACACTTTATTGCATGGAATAAATAATTGGATAATTAAAAAATAACAATTTCTTCATAACTTTCATTATTATGTTAATGAGTTATTATTTTTATTAAGTATATTACCTGTACATTATCTATTCTATCTGTCCTTATTCTTATTCTTCTTTTTAATTTATTAACTTTTTTTATTAACGAATATCAGTACATTTATAATTAAAGTGAAAAAATTAATACAAAATGTGAAGATTAGCCGTATTAAATGTAAATCATAATATTAATATTTATAAGATATTTATTTGTAATAAAAGTAAAGCAAATAAACGTTATAAATACGTTAATTTAGATAATGTTTCTATCTCTTTCGTCTGTATTCGCTAACTTATCTTTTATCATGCATTATACAATTAGAGTATTACAGAAATTAAATTAAATTTTAAAGAGAATGAAAAAGTGTAATTAAATGTGTCTAATTAAATGTGTTTATTATTAAAGCATATCTATTAATTAAAACTATTTAAACAATTTATCGCTTATAAACTTAAGTGTATTTATTAAAATAATTATTAATAAAAATATAAGTCAGTAATTTGATATAAGTGCATTAAGTCAAATATTGGATATATCGCAACTCTACTTTATCAACATGTTCAATCTTTTCTACGTAGAGTATGTTTCAATCTTTTCTACATAGAGATAAAAAATGACTTATCTAATATTATCACAAAAAGTTTACTATCTGAACTGGTTGTACCATTTTAACATTATCATATGAGGTAAATAAACATGGTAATGAATTTTTTGACAGCTATCACAATATGTCATTATTGAACAGATATTTTGTGATGTTATGTTGCGATATTAATTGTGTAATATACAAATAAGTTCCGAAAGACAAATAATTTCTTAATAAGAATGTCATTATATTATATATTTCTGTGATATTCTCGATATTGTAAAAGGACCCTCGTGGTGGAACTTTTATCACTTGTCATATCACCATGTGTGAGCATGCGAAATGTCAGCACTGCAATTAGTGATTAATCGCCAATAATTTAAAAATTATTATAGTTACTAAAAATTATTATAATACTATTATAGTCTTGATATTTTCGTATTAGGATTTTCGTCTTAGCATATTCTAAAGAATCTTTAAAAGGAAAGGCGGTGGTTTTGGGACATCCTGTATATATTATATACAGAATATATTATATTATTATATATATTATGTACATAATATATTATTTAATAAATTATATATAATATAATATACAATATAATATATGAGTATGAAAAATATTGATATTATGAAACAAATATGATTTATTTAAAAAAAAAATCAATAATTTTTTCAAAATTATATTTTTGTTAAATCTCGCAGAAATAATTTTTGATGAAAAAGTTTTAATTTTATGTATGAACTGAATATATTTAAAATTCATAAAGTACATCTTTTATGCAGTACAACTTTGACTAAGATTTTGGTAAATGAAAACTTTGATAAATGTACGCTCAAGGATTTCGATAGAAATTATTTAACAACTGATGCTGTTCTGAACTTCTTGTTCAAGTTCGGGATCGCGTTTTTGTAAAAAAGAAAAGAAATTTTCCACAATCATGGTCTCAACTTGAAGCACTCACAGCTGCGATCAACAGCTTGCTTTAGCTTCAACTGTAACGAGAACAACTTCAGAATAGGAATCCGAATTCATCCATGACATCGAGTGATGTATATAGGGTGCTTCAGAAATAGTTGACCAAACTTTAAGAGCATATTCCACTCATTAGAGTAAGAATGAAAGAAAATTATATAAACATTTGTTCAGAAACGCTTCCCTTCCAAGTTATAAACATTTTTTATTTACTTATATCTATATTTTCATTACAGAAATTGCTGGAAATGATTTCCTTTCGCATCGATGCATACTTCGCATCGACATCGCATGGATTGTCGAAGATATTCTTGGAGTATTTCGTATTTCTTCACACGCAGCGATAATACGATTTCGGAATACTCCCACAGTAGCAATAGAAGTATCATACACGAGATGTGTCTTAAGATGTTCCCATAAATAAAAATTCAAAAGATTCAAATCGGGAGATCGATAGGCCAAGCGATGGGTCCTGCTCTATCAATCCATCTATTGATATAATTATTATTCAGGAAATCTCGAGCAATGCGGCTGAAATGCGCTGGAGCTCCAGCGCATTTCAGTTGCATTGCTACATGAATCACATTTGAGTGCGTATCTGTAGTGGAACATCTTCTAATAATATAGGGAGTTGCGTTTCCAAAAAATTGTCTGTAGTTGTTACCATTAAGTGTAGATGAGGGAAAAATCGTTATATTTGTCAATGGCATTGGAGGGTGTCGCCGCTGCAGTCCGACCTGCATTCATCGAGAGAATAGGATCATTATCTCTCTGGAGTACCGGTCGTGGGGATTCGAGAGAATACATGTATATATTATATATATATTATATTATATGTATATTGTAATATACGTATATATATCATTGTATTATTGACGTGTTATTCTAAACACGTTAGTTACGATAAATATCATCACATGCCTCGATAGTCGAAAGGATAAAATACCTGCCTAGTAAGCAGGAGATTCAGGTTCGATTCCTGATTGAGGTGGTATTTTTTCGCAAAATAATTATGAGTTTTTACGACTTGTTCATGATCGGGCCCCGCCGAACGCACACCCTCCCTTCTTATTTGGGAAGAAAATCTTCAATAATATCAGCCCAAACATTGCATGAAAACTTATGCTGATGCTGAAATTCAATAATCATGCGGATTTTCGTATGACTATAGATGATTATTAATATTAATATTAATAATTAATAATTTATTATAGCGTTCTGCGAAAAATATGCTTTGTCTGTGAAAAGTATCGACACTTCAAAATTTGGAAAAGTACACTATTGCAAATACCATTGAACAAAAATTACTCGTGATGGATAATCCGCTGGTAAGAGAGCTTGTACTTGTTGTATGTGATAGAGATACAAAAGAGCTTCGTTTAATATCCTCTACACAGTTGAGGAAGAAACGTTTTGCATTTCTAATGCAATCTGTCTCGTGCTAAATCTTGGATTTTCTGTGACTCGTCTAATCACTTGCTCTTCGATTGCAGGTGTTTGAATGCTTCTGTTTCGTTTTCGATTAACTGTATTAATGACTGATTAACTGTAAGAAAGATCCTGTTTCCCCAAGTCGACGATGAACCGAACTAAAGATATTTTTAGCAAGACATTGTTTTTGAGGAAAGATTTGTTGATAAAGACGTTGAGCTTTTCTGCAGTTTCCATTAGCTCGCCCATACATGTAATGTAGAATATCTGCCAATCGATCTTAGAATAAGCTATCATGTTGATGTGTACTATCCTCTTAAATGCTTAAATAATGACTGATTCCAATTCTATACAGATTTATCTAATAACATTTTGTTTACTTTAGAAAGTAAATGGAAGTACAATTCATGAAACATCGAAGCGCATGTCGTTCGACGTACATAAATATGTACAATAAATATGTAAATAAAAAATGTTTATACTAGGAAGTTATAACTGGGAAAGGAAACGTTTCCGAACTCATGTTTATATAATCTTTTTGTATCGTTACAATAAGTGGAATATGCTCTTAAGTTTAGCCAATTATTTTTGAAGCATCCTGTATAATCAACTCAATGCCTTAGACGAAATTTATCTTTGACATCAGTGCTGGCGACGAAAAAAATTATTCTCAAAATGACTAACATGCCATGAGTATATATTCATTATGGAATTGGAAGTTTTTCCTCCTGAAATGCATATTGGTCTTGGACGCTTGATTAAATGAAATTCGACAGATTAGTGAACCCATGTCAATCTTATAGATTCAACTAAAATGAAATTAGAAGATCGAATCACAATTTTGAAAAATCTCTTCCAATGATATATCTCTCACATGTCGGCGCATTGAAATTCTAAATTACAGATACGATAAAACAGTATCAATTATAGAACATATTAACGGATAAATCTTTTTGCATCAGGTTTTGAGCATACCAAACTCACTGACAATAATCTCAGAATTTTGCTACTCCTTTAATCATTATAAGACACTCATTATAGGCAAGGACATGTTTAGGTAGTCCTACTCTCAGTGCTAGCAAACTGGTGGAAACACGTGAATAGAAACGCATTAATGACATTCGACAGATGGATTTGCTACGCTACGCGTTGCCGATCGCGAAGGTGATGTAATCGTATATATTGTCTCCCGCAATGATTTATTCGGCTTAAATGCTTTTAACGCTTTCTATCTTTGATATTCTCAACAAATGTCTTGGTTCGGATAATTAATCTATGTGCAGTTATCAAATATCACAAACCCAGCTCTCCTCAAGCTTTCTAAAAAATATCATGCAAATCATATCATGCTTCGCAACCAAATCATCAATGATTTCTCAAATCTCTTTTCTGTAAGCCTTGGCCAATGCAACAATTTTTAGGCTAAATTCATTTTAACTGAGAATGCTGTTTCCGTACAAATTCAATACCAACAGATTCCATATACTATGAAAAAACCTCTCGAAAAGGAGCTTCAACATTTAGAGATATTGAACATTATCGAACGCGTGCACCTATCAGATTAGACAATTCTCATTGTCATTATGAAAAAATCAAATGGCAGAGTCAAATTATGTGCTAACTATTCCACGAGAATAAACGGCGCTCTCAGAAATAATACGTATTCTTTGCTCAATGTAGATTACAATGTAGACTAATGTTTAAGTTGAATGATAATCATTATTTTAATGTTTTATCTTGATTGCAATAACGTATTTTTACAAATCGAGGTAGTTGAAGACCATCGTGATGTCACTAGAATCATCAAAAATCTGTTCATCCCCTCAAAATCTTTTTAGATTTAAGTATCTACTCTTTTGAATTAAGACAGTGGTATATTGACGACATTAATTATGACTCCCACAAGAATACGATATGTACTTCCATTTAATTCTCGAAAACGAAATGACTTGAAGAAAAAGGTTTTTAGAAAAAAGAGGAAATTAAAACCCGAAAAATGTTGCTTTGTTCTGTTTGAAGTTAAATTTCTAGGTATCAGTATAAATGTCTCTATATTTTTGCAGATTCAGAAACTACGCAATTACCAATATATTAAAGCTATCTTGAGTTTTAGAGATTCAGGAGAGAAATCTCTTTTGACAAGGAGATGGTACCGATTGTAAAATTCTATGGGATGAGCCATAGTCTATTCGAAGGAAGGGGTTGGGTATAGTAATACGATAAAATAGTTTGAATGAATGGGCTTTGGTTTCTCAAAAAATTGTAAGTAAAGTTGGGCGCCCGATCAGCTGTGAAGTAAGTACTAGAACCGTGCGTCAATAAACAGAAAAGCGGCGTAGCTGAGCAGTCTGAGGTGCGCGATACTTTTTTTCCTGCGGCGCGAGTTCGAATCTCCGCAGTGTCAATTTTTTTTTAAATAAATGTTATATTTATTAATACAATTAATTTTAAAAATTTATTTTTTTAAGCTAAGATATTAATCGTTGCACATTTTTCGTTATAAATAATAATAAATAACAAAAGTTTAAAAAATTATTAATTATTTATTATAAAACTTTGTATATGTATGACATTGCCGTACAATTATTTTTTGTAAAAAGTTGACATTGCCGTACAATTTTGTGGATGAAAATTAATGTAAAAACATTTAAAACACAAGAACGTACAATATGGACATTTTATAAATGAATTATTATTTTTACAAATACATTTCGTGTTATATCTGAAAGAAAACATAACTGATTTATATTATAGAAAATTTCGCGTTCGGATGTCAGCTTTGATGCGTATTGTATCATATTTTTGAATAACGGGCACATAACAAATAATGTATCAATAATTCAATTCGAATGACATCATAACGTGAATTTAATTCTATTTTTTTTCCGCTAACAAAAATATCTGGACAGTTTTGAATTCGTTTTATAATAATTTTTATTTTTGCTCCTATAAAAATAGACATCGCATGACTGGCAAATTAGCGTATATTTTGACGGAATAATTTGTTAATTACAGGTCGGCTTATTTTTATCATTTCGAAAATTTTTATTGTACATATGAATATTTTTCTGACCTCCCCAAGAATCAACAATTAATAAAAATGGTTGGTTGCCGTAAAGTTTTACTACAGTTTTTAAATACTGTTCATACAGAGATGATGTTAGTTTTCCTGACTTTGAACAGACGACAACAACATTTTTACATAATTGTAAAAGTTCATCGATTTTTTTCTGAACGCATAAAATGTTTCACCAGGTTCTTGTGAAACATAGCTCTCTAAACAGACAAATACCTTATTCAATACTTTCCCAGATTTTGTTAAAGAATATTAAGCAATATAAGAGTGTGAGACTTTAAATCACCGATATAAAGCTCGACTATTTTTTCTTCTTAAATATATGTTCTTGATACATTTGTTCGATACTTACCTGTTTGAACCATATTAATAATTTGGAGGGATTGGGGAAAAAGTATTAATTACTGTCATCAAATTTTATCGTAGAAAATTAAAATAAAGGAAGGGTACGGTTCAGCGCTTAGTTCGTCATATATTTATATAATATGTACAAAGTAATTATATATGTGTATAAAAAGTATATGTGATTCAAAATGTGTCGTGCGTGCGTGCGTGCGTGCGTGCGTGCGTGCGTGCGTG